GGGGGTGTAATGTCTCATGGCATGACTGTGAGAATGAACACGTTATTTGTAAAGCAGTGCAGCGCATCACAGTCACACAATTATCGCACATAGACATGTTAAACTTTGTCCCCGGCTTCTTTCTAGTTTTGCTTGGTGTAAACAGTATTGCTCCTAAATTATTTGTTCCATACGTGTAACACACTGCTAGCTTCACGTGATGGTATAAATAAAGCATATATATATGGCACAGGTTCAGCACACGCAACACCGTGGAACTTAGTGACACGGAAAGTCGTAAAATTGGCGGGGACATCTTACGTTGCATACTTTATGACGTCATAAGTATGCACCGTGGGTCTTGGGCTGAACTTGACCCCAAGGCGGGGAACTTTCCGACAGAAAAAAAAGTAAAAAATAATTCTTCAATTACGCCGTATTGGTATTTTATTATCATTTTATGAAAGGCATGGAATTTCTCCTCCAAATGGTATATGATTACAGATGTACACAAACATTTCAACACATGCCATATATAGTGTCCGATACGTTGATAAAGTTGGCTGAACTTGGCCCGGTCTAAAACTAAATGTGGATATTTTAGCAAAGTGTATAGCTTTATAGCTCAGGCATATCTGAATTTTGCCAAAGAGACAGTTTTATAGATGTCAGATAAAAGAAAAGAAAAAAGGTTAACAATATATCTAAACTGTGACATCAACAGAATCTGAAGCTATGACTTAGAAGTTTTAATCAGCCTCTTTTTCTTTTCCTTTTTTATTTCTATAGCTGCAATCATTTTGTATCGTCACCGCCATCCTGCAGTCCCGTGTGTATTTTTTTTACATACCTGAACCTGAACTCGAGATCAAGCTGCTCCGATCCAAATTTAACTTCAGCTAATAAACATAAACCTGAGTATATCTATTACAAACTATACCTAAGATTACCATATCCTAATCCCTTCTCTGAACTCAATCTCTCTAGCTCTAACTCAACACTGAGGCCAACTGCTGAATAATAACAAGTGTAATGATTTTTTTCTATAAGATGAATATGTATGTAACAGGAAAGAGAATAGTGTGCTTCCACCGGGATCTCCAGGTTCCTAGTCGGACGCTCTACCACTGAGCTAAAGGGAAATTCCCTCTAGCGCGAAGCTAGAAGGCGACCGTAATCCCATGTACAATTAAAACCTGTCACATATATATACGATAAACTGTTTTTCGTTGGCATTCATAGGCAATATACATGCCAACTGGACAAAGGCAAATCCAACACGAGACGCCTCAGTAAATGAATGCCAACTGAAGAAGTTAAATGCTTTTTTAATATGTTCCCTTTTGCATAATACAACATGATCACTACTTCTCGAACGTAGCTGAAGGAAATTCCTTTAACTTTATTCACGGGTTTCTTTCTATATTAAAATGTTACATTAATGTTCAGGCTGCTGATCGCATGTCAAACTGAAACAGTTTCTCGATTCAGACACAAATGTCTGACGTCACAGATTACTGTTCCCATCGACGGCTGTGGTCATTTAGGGCCATGGCGATTTTTTTAACAAACATGTGAGTAGCGGAGTTAAAATCAGATAAACAGTTTCATTTTAAATGCATTCGCATTGTATGTGTAAATACGACTAATTGGCGACAAAACTGAAGAACACATGGACAATAACAACGTCTTCACGGTTTTCGATCTGGGAAATCCTGTACAACAAACCTATTAGAAGTAATGGAACACTGGGCAGAGACAACAGACAAAGTAGTCCGAATTATTCTCACGTTTTATCGACGACAGACCGATATAAAAAAAAGGTGATAAAACGTCAGAATATTTCGGACTATAGACAAAGGAGAGAATATTGATACTATATATACTTAGACTTCAGTAAAGCATTTGACAAATTCCCTCACAAATGCTTACTGAAAAAAACTTCAAGGATACGGAATAACTGGTAAAATCCTCCAGTGGGCTCAAGATTTCCTCTCAAACTAAAACAACGAGTATCCATAAACGGTGAATTGTCTGGTCTGGTGGATGTAACGAGTGGTGTGCCCCAGGGTAGTGTCCTTGGTCCAGTTATTTTTTAATCTACGGCAATGACCTCCCTGATGTAGTCAAACTTTTTGCTGACGACTCAAAACTATTCAAAAACATCTCTAGGCAAACAGGGACTGCAGAACTACAAACTGATATCAATAGCATCGTCCAATGGACATCAGATTGGAAAATGACATTAAATAACAAAAAATGTAAACATCTAAATATTGGTAACCTAAACCAAGATTCTACATATTACTTCCACTCAGGTGAACAGTTTGAGAAAGTTACTAAAGAGAGAGACCTGGGTGTAACAATTGACAACAAACTGAAATTTAACCACCATGTGAGTCAATCTGTCAACAAAGCAAATCGGACACTAGGACTAATCTTAAGGACATTTATTGACATGGACAAAACTATGTTTCTTACACTTTACAAGAGTCTCATTAGGCCCAACTTGGAATATGCTACCCAGGTCTGGTCCCCTTTTCTGAAAAAAGGACCAAATAGCCTTAGAAAATGTGCAGCGCAAAGCTACGAAAATAATTCAATCTCTAAAAAACTTTCTTACAATTCAAGAATACGAAGACTAGGCTTACCTACACTGGAATATAGAAGAAAGCGCAATGGTCTATTAGAGGTTTATAAAATAATCAACAACATTGATATACTTGACAATGATAAATTATTCACTTTTACACACAACAACAAGGGGTAATAGCAAAAAGCAGAGCAGGACCAGGGTCACTCAAAATGTTTTTAGTAGAAGAGTGGGGGATTCTTGGAACTCCCTTCCTAACTAAGTAGTAGAAGCCCCGTCTCTAAACTGTTTTAAATCTCGTTTAAACACTTTTTGGAAAAATATACCATATATAAGTTTTATCCCAGTTTTTATGCTACACAACCGGTTAACAGTATATTATCGAACGAAGATGCGCCTATATAAGCTACTTCAAGCTAACAACGATGTCGACGAAGAGGTAAACAGGTAAATAATTAAAATAAAAAGGGGTTCAAATAATAAAAGAGATAACGAATAGATTATATGGCCTATGTGATATATATAACGTCAAAAAGGGGTAGGTGGGTTAAAAGTTATCAGAGTCTATAGAATAGACCGATGCCTTTAAATAGTTAAATAATGCATTAGAGTCCACGGAACTGAAAAGAGTTTTCATATCCGGGACTCGAAAGTAGTTATCACGAAGTGTTTAAAATCGGAACCTTCTATTAAAAAAAGGTTCCACTGTAAATAGAGTGTCACATGCGTGGCATGAAGGTGGATCTTCTCGTTTTAAAAGGTACGAATGAGTAGGATATGTGTGCCCAGTACGGAGCCGAGCGAGGACAACTTCCTCTCTACGATCTTTCTGACTTGGAATAGATGTTTTAAGTTTGTTGCTGGTCTCGAGAGACCAGCGTTGCTGCTGTACGAATAATATTGGTTTAAAATCTGTATATGGTAGTTTGATATTTGTTTGTTGGAGATTTAAATCATTTTTTGCTTCCCTGTCAACAAATTCGTTGCCTTTAATTCCGTCATGGCTCGGAATCCATAGTAAAGTTATTTTGGACTTTTTTAAGATACGAGATATTCGAAGAGCAAGGTTTTGTACGAGTGTGTTTTTAGAATCTCGTAACTGTAAACTCTGTAGGACAGATAGAGAGTCTGAACAAATGATTGCCTTTTTAAGAACAACCAATATGGTTTAAAACAATCTTAATCCTCAAATTGAAGATAATTGCTTTTGTTGCCGTTTTCAATGATAGAAAATAGCGCATTAATGTTTCTCCTTGATTGATTCAAATGCAGAAATAATATTAAATTTAAATTCAAAGCAATAATAGCTGTTTTGCCCCTCTCTCTTTCCACAGAAAACAGGTCAAAATTTTTGGGAGTGACTTTCCCTACCTCCATAAATTCTCAAAATGGGGATGGATTTAGGAACTCCCCTTCCACACTCTTAGTTTTATCCAATCAAGTGAGCTGTTACAAAGTAAGGACAGATAACTCCAACAAAATCCCCCAGAGAAAACATTGTGGCTTCGCGTGGACACTGTAGTAAAACTAATGAGGAAGGATGTCAGAAAGTGCCGATAGATTCGTTTCTGTTGACTATGAAATATATGGAAATGTACAAGGTTTGTAACTGTAGACCCACCACGTGACTTGCCAAAGGCAAACTTGAACGAATGACCATGACATCTTGTCCTATCGTCGATACATATCATGTTATAAAGAACATCAGGCGAAATTTAAGACATTTGATGATTTGAAAAAATATTTTATCGTTGTTTTACAGCTGTTATGAAGAACACATATAATATTAGGCGTTAAGTAATCTGATATCAGTGCCTGATCGTTAGCCCAGCAACGCAATGTTTTTTTTATTACGAGTTCCCTCCCCTAACTACCCTCAACATTAGACTTGCTAAAGTTTTCGTTGATGTTTAATACTGTTATAATTAAATCATATCATTATTTTGATCAATACTCAACAATTCAAAATAACCATTTGAATCAATAAATTGATAAATATAAAATTGAATGTTCAATATAAATAAATAAATTCATGTAAAAGGATGATAAATCTTATTTTTCAAAAACATGCTTAATGCTATTCATAAATGTTCATAATTTTATAATCATCTTTTTCAGGTGTATTTTTCAGACAGGTGAGTACAGCGTGAACTGATGAACACAGCTTGAATGATATTTTTTCTTTAAAAAAATCAGATTCTCCAATTAATTAAAACCTATGTATTATACTGATATATTATTAAAACATTAGATATCTTCTTACCCTTGTTTTCCTCCATCTTTTATGAGAAACACCTGATTTGTATTTATCTTTCTGTGTATTACAGCATACATTTGAAAGAGCTCGTAAAGTTGGAGCAGTGGGATGGGTGATGAACACTGCCAAGGGAACTGTCAAAGGCACGGTACAGGGCACACAGAAACAGGTGGCAAACATGTGAGTTGTTATAACTGGCCTCAGCTGAAACTTTAGATGTATGGATTTATTTTTTTATTTTTTTATTTGATGATAGAATGTAGTATCGTAGTTATCCTGCAATAAGCCCAGGGGGGCAACACATAATCTCTGACTGAAAGTAGGGGGAGGGGCTTATAGCCAGACAACACATAATCTCTAACTCAAAGCAGGGGGAGGGGCTTATAGCCGGACAACACATAATCTGTAACTCAAAGTAGGGGGATGGGCTTATAGCCGGACAACACATAATCTCTAACTCAAAGTAGGGGGAGGAGCTTATAACAGGACAACACATAATCTCTAACTCAAAGTAGGGGGAGGGGCTTATTGCAAGACAACACATAATCTTTAACTCAGAATAGGGGATGGGCTTATAGCCAGACAACACATAATCTCTAACTCAAAGTAGGGAGAGGGGCTTATAGCAAGACAACACATAATTTCTAACTCAAAGTAGGGGATGGGCTTATTACAGGACAAATGAAGTGAAATAGAACTATTGAAAATCTTTTTCATGTTTGATAATCAGTATTAGAGCTCAACCTAAAACAATTATAAAACCAGAAAAAAATGAATTGTTTGGATTTTGTTTCAGGAGGCATTTTCTTACACATGAAGGCAGTCCTTTGTCTAGGATAACCAAGTATGAATTCACAAATGACAGAGAGTTAGTTAAGTTGGAGTACAATCGGTTTTCAATCACGGCAGGAGACTGGTGACCAGATATAAAATTGTTTCCTTTCACGTGTGCTGTGTACTCGGACTTACCCAGTTGAGGATCCGTAAAGGCATCAATGGCTTGTCATCAATGTTGAAAACATGTGCAACAGTCTATCAGAGATTATAGAACTAGCCCTGGATTTCTCCAAAAAGAAAAGAAAAAAGCTGTTGAAGTTTCTTTGGCGATCATTGTTTCTCAGCAGTTTTAATTTTGCCTGGACTATCTTTTTAAAATCTGACATAATTTAAAAGTAATATTTTTGTCACCCTGGTAAAAATGCTAGCTGCTTTACATACTGACTCGGCTACAGAGTATTTCTCTTTAGCTCATTTGGTAGTGTGTAAGACTTGTAAACCAGAGGTCCAGGGCTCGACTCTTAGTGGAGGCATTGAGCAATTGTATGACCTCTGTGAAATTATGATCTTTTTATGATCCTTTTTTACCAATTTCACAGTTATTTTTCACCAAAATTACATCAATTTGTGAAAATAGTATGAGAATGTAGGAAACATCCCGTCTCATACATCGGGATAAATTTTGCATGTAATGTTTAAATCTGAGACATGTAAAAGCAGTTTTAGTCTTTTAATGCATTGGCCTCTCAAGAAAACTTTTACTGTAGAAACAAAATCATCTTTGATAACATTTAGTCTTGAGATTTAAGCACTTTGTCTAATTTTGCAGAACAATGTAAACATTTAAAAAAAAAATTGAATTAGATCCTTAATAGTCAAGATATTTTTGTTTTTAGCAGAATTAGCATTTTTTTTTTGACTAATGAAAAAGGAAAAGTCACTGACATAGAACTAATGAAGATGGTATGATGCAGCGTGCCAAAATCTCTTATTTGGACTAGTGAAATAGGAAAAGTTACTCTGATTGCATCTGGAAGGCATGTTTTCTAGATTATCAGAGTCAGGAAGTCGGCATGCACTATATACCAGTAAAAATGAAAAAAAATATTGTTACAAAGTTGTTGAGAGTTTTATGATCTTGACGATGATGAGTCTTTCACGTGCTATGTTGTTCTCCGCACTACTTTACGGTAGCCATGTTTACTGCCAGTGTAGGTGTGTTAGTTTATATATCCCTTTGTGTGCAATGTTTACACTCACATATTAATAATGGTTGTTATATTATCATTGTTTTTATATTTGTAATAAAAGGATTTATCATTACAATATATCCTTTATTGTGTTTTAGTTTTTGCACATAAATACAAAGTTTTTATAATGTTAGGAAAAACATATGTTAATCTGATTTTTCTTTATTTGTAGAATTGTTTGAAAACTTAACATTGAGAAGTTGTCTTCTTCTGAATAAAGTCCTGTATCACATACATCAGTTTAGATACATTTTATTACCTTGTGACTAACTTTGGACCAAGTGAGCTAACCTGATATACCATGGTGTGACATTGTTCGTCTAGCATCAACTTTTTACTTTAATTCAACTAAGAGGCCTAGCATCATAATCCTTGCCCAGTAGCATGCTAGGATGAAAGACTATCAACTTTATTCAGTGAATGACCTTGACCAACTTTTAAGGTCACAGGGGTCATATTTCTTAAATCCATGAAATGATTTTTTCCAGATAGCCAAGAGCCTGGGGTGATGATGTAGGCTACATTCGCGTATCCCGGTTGAAACGGTATGTGTGGCGCAGAAATTTTCCATGATAAACGAACACACTTGGACCGTTCTATAAGCAGAGCTAAAAATCCACAGTTTCGGAGAATAAATAACAATGTATCAAGAATATTATGCCCTTCTCTCACGCGTCCACTTAATTACATAACGTATCTTAAAAATTACATGTGACTTGACATTGTTTAAGAAAGAAATAACGCAAATTGGCAATAGTCAGCATTTTAGTTTCGGTCAGGTTCGTCTGGACCCCTCAATCTACACGTACCAAATTTTCCTGAGGTCAGCCTCGGTCCAAATCTGTACCTGTCGTTTTCTTTACAGGTTCAACCGGTTCAACCGGTTCAACCGTTTCAACCGGATACATGAATGTAGCCATATTGTCAGTAGTTAGTAGGATTAAAGGGCTATCAATGTGTTTAAATAAATGACCTTGACCCACTTTTAAGGTTAAAGGGTCAAATGTGTTTAAAGCTTTAAGAAATCTCTTCTTAAGAACCAAGAGGCCTAGGGTGATAATACTGGGAAAGTAGCATGCTTGGATAAATGACTATAAAGTCAGAAAAGGCAAAACATTCTGACTTGTTTGAAACATATGCAGATTACTGATAGAAGTCGTGCAAAATTATCTGAAGTAGGCTGTCAAGCCTGACATATTGACAAGTACAAAATTATTTCATAGCTAAAACCAAAAGACAACAAATGAACACTTCTTTGTTCACATGATTTATGTTTATTGAATCTGTTTAAAATATTATCATTATATCAGATTATGATACTGTATTATACATCAGATATAAAATTCCTTTTTCCATATCCTTACTTCAGGATCCCTGTCACACTGCACTGAAGTTTGTCATATTTACAGTAACGTCCCCTTAACTTTGTATAGGATAATACTGTAACACAGGTGGGCCAGGATACCTCCGATGAACAGATAGCTCAAACAGTTAGAGCAATAGTGTAACAAGCTGAAGTCATGGGTCGCTTTCGTTTATTGCAATCCAAGCGTTGGACCAGAGTTGTTCGTTTATAAAATAAGGTCGGACCTAGTAATCGGATGCTGTTTTCAGGCTAGACACGACAAAGCCTTGCAAGGCCTGCATTAACTTTTGCAGGTCTGTCAGGATTTATACCAAAAAATGTTGCATTGAAAAACAGACAAACAGGTTGTTCCACATCAAAGAACAGGCTGCTAGGTTCCAATTCCAGTCTAGTCAAACCAGCTTTTTCCCCCAAGCAGGATACTGTTGTTTATTTAGTTTGGTTTATTTCATCTGTTATCTTTATTTATAAAAGTACAACAAGGTATGGTTTTCTTTTCAGAAATCATTGATCAAAGTTACAGCCATGTCAGCAAAATCAGTTTCCAGTGCCTATTTACTGTTGTTGGCAGTGGTACGGGGATCCTTAAAAGCACAAAACACTACAACATTGTCTTATTATTATATTTACTAACAATATACATTTACTCTCTCTGTGGACGAAGTCTCCAAATGGTAAAATAAAATTATAAAAATAATTTATGTATATATTTGGCTTTTTTGGAGAATTAAAGCTTTGGAAAAACAATTTTAAAGTGAGAAATTTCAAGGTGTAATAATAATTCCATGAAAAGTGGGCGTGTCATTGACACCAGTATAACGGCCGGTGGTGGTTTGGCCAAGGTCAAGATTGAGCAAGGGACTTGATGATAAGTTTATACTTAATCGAGCCTATCATATGTAGGTATGTGTGATATGGATGTTCTGTCCGAGGTGTAGAAGACCCGAGGGTAGAATATCTACATCCTACAAACCTACATAATGATGGACTTGTTCTGCCAGCTCTCAACCCAAATTTTGGTAAACAGGTTATAGACGATGAAAATGCTTCACTAAATATGGCAAAAATTGAAGATTTGAGGTGACTCACAAGATCATCTACAGGTGTCTCGAAGATAATTTACTGGTGTAAAAAAAAAGTGACTCACAGGATTATCTACTGGTAAAGATGGTGATTCACAGGATTATCTACCGGTAAAGATGGTGACTCACAGGATTATCTACCGGTAAAGATGGTGACTCACAGGATTATCTACCGGTAAAGATGGTGACTCACATGATTATCTACCGGTAAAGATGGTGACTCACAGGATTATCTACCGGTAAAGATGGTGACTCACAGGATTATCTACCGGTAAAGATGGTGACTCACAGGATTATCTACCGGTAAAGATGGTGACTCACAGGATTATCTACCGGTAAAGATGGTGACTCACAGGATTATCTACCGGTAAAGATGGTGACTTGCAGGATTATCACTAAGGTGACGCGCAGAAATATCTGCTGGTAACAAAGTTGACTCACAGGATTATCTACTTGTTAAAAAGGTGACTCACAGGATTATCTTCAGGTAAAGAAGGTAGCTCACAGAATTAACTACTGGAAAAAAAGTTGACTCACATGACTATCTACTAGATAAGAAGGTGACTCGCATGACTATCTACTGGTGAAGAAGGTGACTCACAGGATTATCTACCGAGAAGGTGACTCACAGGATTATCTTTTGTGAAGGAAGGTGACTCGCAGGATTATCTACTGTGAAGGAAGGTGACTCACAGGATTATCTACTGAGAAGGTGACTCACAGAATTATCTACTGAGAAGGTGACTCACAGGGTTATCTACTGAGAAGGTGACTCACAGGATTTTCTACTCTGAAGGGGGGTGACTGACAGGATTATCTACTGTGAAGGAAGGTGACTGGATTATAACTGGTCTCCCCTGTAGTCCACTTGTACACTTTTTATCACAGTTTTCTTAACTAAGACTAGTAACATTACTTATTAACAAAATTGTTTGGGAGAAAAACAAGCAAAACAAAGTAAAAAAATATATGAAATGACAAAAATATAAACTAGACCATCTTGCTAAGTTAGTGAATCTCTCATCATTCTGTCTAGGAAATGTAGAGTAAAAACTTCATTTTTGTATAATTAATTAACTAAATCACAGATACATCTTAAGGAGGAAACATAATTGTAAATGAATTATATACTATAACACTATAATGAAATGCACGCACAGAAAATGGTCTCTTTAATCAGGATCCATATGAGAAAGAATTAAAAATCATTTGACTAGATTCTGAGGTGGAGACATTTAAACAGTAATCATGAATCTTGACGTTTCATTCGTCAAATTGTTTCAAATGTTATAACTGATAAATATGTTTAAGATAAATTACAACATGATAGATTTTTCAGAAATATGACAAATGAATTAGATGATAAATTATTTACTTTCAGGAAAACAAGCTACTAGTATATATTGCAAGCTTTAAACTAAAGTGACAAATAATTACATTGAAACTTCCATAAAAATAATCAAAATGCTATAAACAAAGAAAGTAATTAATAGTTGTTATATTGTAACAAGTCATGGATATAATACTCTGTTAATAAACGTGAATTAAACAGCACCTAGGAGGGGAGAACAATATAAAGTTATGAAAGCACCTCAGATTAAGTTATTATATTAATGAAAATCAGTTTTTAAATTAAACATTTAAAACAAAGTATTGTAAATTTATTACAAACAAAAGATAATCTATTCTGTGACAAATGAGCTGCCCAAATAAGTAACGCTTTATAATCAGATTTTCCACACCACCACCAAACAAAAACATACATATTTACAATATAGACACAACAAAAAAATGATTTTCTTTGTCCAAGATATTGACTGCAGTATTCAGAACCTGAAATTATTTCCAAACTGACATGAAAACTCAGTTTTAAATACCAATGCAGAATTTTGCCGATTACATTTATTAACAAATATTTTTAAAAAAAAAACACAAAAAAAAAACCATAGATAAAAAAAAAATCTCTGAAGATTTTACAAACAAATTTTATCTGGGTATTTTGAGGAAAGTGTAACTGCAACTATTTTTTAAAAACTTCATCACCCATCTTACATCAAAAAGCAACATACCAAACGCCTAGGAGAACACAGACTCCATCAATTTCTTATTACTGTAATTTCCTTAACTTTACTGTCTCTCAATCCGCTGTGTTATTAATTTTGCAAACGTCGTAATAAATACATGAAACTTGGACAAAAATTGCCTATATAAATTTTACTAAATATCATGTATATTCCATAGACAAAATTAATTTTTATCTTGACTCAATAAGGAGGCGGTGGGTTTTCATTGTAAATCCTTGAGAAAGACTGAAAGTAAATAAATCTACCTGCTTCACTAACCTCAGCAGATTATCTGAATAAAAACAAAAAATCATTTTCATTTTGATTTGAGTTCTTCCACCAGTATAAATATGCTTCTAGACTATAAAGTCATTACATATCACATACTTGTGAAATTAAATTTACGGAATTTCATGAATGAAAAATGAAAAAGGTATATAAATCTGCAAAGCTAATACATCGAAAGAAAATTGAAACAAGACATGACTAGGGAAAGTTTGGCTTTTATCCAAACCCTTTGTGTGTAGGTTATAGTTGCAGGTCTATCTCCTGACATCAAGGGGGGGGGGGCTATACAATCACTAATTTCTGTGGGTTTTTTAATTTCGTTGATTACGAGGGTAATCTTCATCTTTGAACTCATTAGTTCACAAAGTAATTACAAGTTTGATAAAGAGGAATTCTCCGTTTGAGTGGGTACTGGTAATCCATGACTTTATGTACCCACGAAATGGTGTTTTGTTGGGAAACCACGAAATTCGGGCCCTACAAAAAATATCTGATTTCACAGTATTTCCTGTATCACACCTCTTAGAGGGTCTTAAAACATTAAACATCGTTTGTCATTGTGAAAAATAAACTTTTCAAGTATTAATAAATGATATACATCTACATTTCAATAAAAAAAAATATGATATAAGCACAATAACTATCATAAAAACAAAAACACCATAAAACAATAAAAAATATAGTGTGGAATGTGTATTAAAGGTAGTTAATATGTAAAACAACACTGAGAAAAAAAAATCATACAAAATTCCTCTTCTTTTGAAATCTACCCTGTAGTATAATTTCAAAATTTGTAAATTGGTCCATTTTTAGGGGTATGTATTATGCATTCTTTTTCATTATCTGAATATTTATAAGTTTAAAATCATGAAAAACAAATAGTCAAAAGGAAGTAGGTTTTAATTATTCACCTTCAGAATTTATTTAACATTTTTGATGGCTACCAAAAGGTATAAAGGACTGATTTTATCAGGAAAATTGAAAATTAAAATAATATATATCTCATCAACAGAACAACCTGATTTAATTTTAAATATTGATAAGAAAGAATGACAATATAGCACTTTTACTTTGTGTAGTGTGTTTCTATTTTGTGTTAAAGTATTAGAATCATCCTTAAATAATTGGGAAACATTGAACCCAATCATTATTATCATTTTTTATAAAATATTTCTTTCGCCCTTTTATAAATCATGACTATTTCTTAAAACTCATTCAAGATTATAATTCTTCGTGATTCTCCTGTCCGTGTCGTGGTGTGTCTTGACCTTCCATGACCTTAACATTATCATCAGTGACCTTGACATGGTCCTCGGTGACCTTGACCTGATCAGATCCTTCCTCTTCATGCATTTTCCTCCTCCCTCCAGAGTGGTGATACAGTCTGGATTTCTTCAGTGCCAACAGCTCATGACGCACCTAAACAAATAGAAAATTACATTTTATATAGAAATACAGCAAATATTGTACTCATCATCAACACACATGGCATTTAATGTGTTCATAGTGAGGCAAGCACACATGTATTTCTTAGTTACAGGTCACCTGCCCGACCACGTTTTCACCGGGTACTCTTGTTTCCTCCCACATTAAGACTAACATCTGGGCCAACAAGAGTGATTAAAGCTGAAATAATTTGTTTCATAATTTTGTAAACTATATAAGCGCATATACAAGAGGGTGCTTCTGTAACTTTAAATGACCATGTATACTGGAAGTATGATGTTCAGGGAACGACCCAACTATTTTCAGTTTTATTTGTCCCATTCATGTCATTGAGAAATCAATGTTTCCAAAAACCTTTGTGACATTGACCTTTGACATTCAACCTCAATACATTTTCATCTGCGGCGGATGCACAGGACACAGAAGTCTGGAAAGAAACTTTGAGTTTATTTTGAATCAAGGAAACTACAGGTGTTGTTTAGAAATTGGTTCTGATAATGGTAATGGTATTGTTCATGTAGTGGAACTAGACTGGGTCGATCGCCGACGACCAGGTAGTGGAACTAGCCTGGGTCGATCGCCGACGACCATGTAGGGGAACTAGACTGGGTTGATCGCCGACAACCAGGCAGTGGAACTAGACTGGGTCGATCGCCAACGACCAGGTAGTGGAACTAGACTGGGGCGAGCGCCGACAACCAGGTAGTGGAACTAGACTGGGTCAATCGCCGACGACCAGGTAGTGGAACTAGACTGGGTCGAGCGCCGACAACCAGGTAGTGGAACTAGACTGGGTCGATCGCCAATGACCATGTAGTGGAACTAGACTGGGTTGATCGCCGACAACCAGGTAGTGGAACTAGACTGGGTTGATTGCCGACAACCAGGTAGTGGAACTAGACTGGGTCGATCGCCGACAACCAGGTAGCTCAATTGGTTAGGTAGAGCGTCCGTCTAGAGTTCGGAGGGTCCCAGGTTCGAACCCTGTCTGGCTGTTGCATTTCTCTATCTCCTGTTACAGTACACATGAGGCCACAGCAAACCAGAGCATCAGGCATAAAATTCTCTAAAACTGTATATTTCCCACAGTTAGATTTAAAATCATGTACCTGATCTTCTTCGAAAGCATTCTTTAACCTTGTGGATGACATGTCATCTTTACCGTCTTCCGACCTCTTCACCTCGTTACCATCTTCATCGAATCCTACGGAACAGATAAAATATACAACTCATCATAAAAACTTTTGTAATTTATGCAGTTTTATTTTTGTGCTGAAATATAGTTTGAAGTTTGGGGTGTGCAAATTACATAGCTACAGATATTTTCAAGTTTTTTGTATAGAAAGATTGTTGAATTGCAGGGTCTGCTATCTTGGAAAGACATGATTCTCACTGAATTAGTTTGTACACAGAATGTCTTTCAAAAGTAAACGACCAGATAAACTGTGTGAAACTCCAGGAAACAGTATGTCACAGATAGGATGACCATTAAATATTTTATGATCCTGACAGAAATACAGAATGGCTGTTTAAACGGGTTATACATTTTCTCTTAATTATGAAATATCTCACCTGTGCATACCTCGCCTGGTTGTACATTACCAAAATATTTCCCAACAGACATTTCTTAACACATCAAACCATTTAGATAAAGAGAAAGTTTGGATATAACCCACCTATACCATGTTCCTCAGTGGCTACAAGGTCGTCTGGTACATTGTTGGCCTTTTGTTTGTTTTTTGACTCCCAGTCCATCATAGCGAGGAAATTGTAGCCTTCTTTCAATGGCTTCCAATCCCCATTTGGAAGTATCGCTGTAAGATATAGCAGCAGTGACGGTTACACATTTGTACCAATGAAATGTACGGAAAGTTTTGGAGAAAATGAAGTTCATATCTTTCTATAGGGAAAAATAATAATACAGTTATCTTGTGTTTATTGATAGTGTCTGCTGTGAAAATAACAACATTGAGAAATCACTGATGTTGACATTACAGGAAAAAGACATCATCAGACTGTCGCTGTCATCGTTTTGTCCCGGTGCAATGACATATATTTGACCATGGCAATATGTTCTTTCAATTCAGAAACATTGTCTATTTGAAATATAATGATGAGAATGTTATAGGATGAAACTTGACCCTTGCAGAGCTGACATATTAAGATAGACTGGACTTTTCCTAGAAGGGCTGACTAAATAGAAATTTAAAGACTAGAATTTTTCCCTTAAGGGCTGGCTTACAAGAAAGACTCAGTTTAACCTAGAAGAGCTGGCTTACAAGAAAGACAACAATTTTACCTAGAAGGGCTGGCTTACAAGAAAGACTACAATTTTACCTAGAAGGACTGGCTTACAAGAAAGACTACAATTTTACCCTAGAAGGGCTGGCTTACAAGACTACAATTTTACCTAGAAGGTGTGGCTTACAAAAAAGACTACAATTTTACCTAGAAGGACTGGCTTACAAGAAAGACTACAATTTTACCTAGAAGGACTGGCTTACAAGAAAGACTACAGTTTAACCTAGAAGGGCTGGCTTACAAGAAAGACTACAATTTTACCTAGATGGGCTTACTAACAAGAAAGACTACAATTTTGCCTAGAAGGGCTGGCTTACAAGACTACAATTTTACCTAGAAGGTCTGTCTAACAAGAAAGACTACAATTTTGCCTAGAAGGGCTGGCTTACAAGACTACAATTTTACCTAGAAGGTATGGCTTACAAAAAAGACTACAAATTTACCTAGAAGGACTGGCTTACACGAAAGACTACAGTTTAACCTAGAAGGGCTGGCTTACAAGACTACAATTTTACCTAGAAGGTATGGCTTACAAAAAAGACTACAAATTTACCTAGAAGGACTGGCTTACAAGAAAGACTACAATTTTACCTAGAAGGGCTGACTTACAAGAAAGACTACAATTTTTCTTAGAAGGGCTGGCTTACAAGAAAGACTACAATTTTTCTTAGAAGGGCTAACTTATTAAAAATACTAGAATTTTTCCAAGAAGGGCTGAGGAACTAGAAAGACTAAAATTTTACCTAGAAGGGCTCCAGATAGACTAGAATATTTGAAGAAGGAGTGACTTACTATTAGGACTAGACTTTCCCCTCAATGATCCCTGTAACCAGTTGATAAGTTCTTCAGAACCAAAGGTCAACTGGTCGTAGTTAAATACATCACCCTGAAAAAAGGTCAAGGTTAAACTTGTGTTTTGTTACAAGTTTAAAGGCAATACATTTTACATGAATCTCAAATATTTTTATTTTTGTGAAAACAATCATAGAAAAGTTTAAATTTAACTAATCATATATGTATATGGAAATAATCAACTAAAGAGAAAAACATTGGAAAATAAACAAATAATATGTTATTTTGTGTTTGAAAGGTGTTTTGAACTGATTGATCAGGAAATTCAAGATACTACAGATGTAAAAACTGAACTAATAGTTGAGGACAAGCTTACCAAGTCAAGGTTGACCAGCGATATAGCGGGCGTGCTGCCCTCGGAATTATATTTCTTCAAGATTTTCGTCCCAAAATCATCTCCAACTGCCCTACAAAAGTTGTAAAAAAATAAAATTAGATGTAAACAAAATTCCCAAATGTCTCAGCCTTAAAACTGTATTTAGCTGCATAAGTCAATGATTGAAAAAATTGGTTGTTTTCTTTTTAATCTTGTAGAAAATACAACATTTAAATATTTTCTTCCTTCAGAGGCCGATTTTAAATCTAAATGGAACATATAAAGCATATGCAGTGTTTACGATGAATGTCAATCAACAAAATATATGAAATTTAATCACTGGGACCAGCAAAAAAAAACAAGAAGAAAAAAACCTTCAGGATCCCTGTTCCCTGCACTGTGGTTTTTAGTAAATGCAGTAATCTCCTCTTAATGTCTTTTTTTTCATTAAACTCTCGCAAGGTATATGCTTTTTAATCAGAAATAATTTATTCAAGCTATAGTCATGCCAGAAAAAACAGTTTCAAACACATATATATGTAACCCGGTATTTATTGTGTGTTTGTTATTTACTGTATATATATGTACTATTAGGACTAGACTTTCCCCTCAATGATCCCTGTAACCAGTTGATAAGTTCTTCAGAACCAAAGGTCAACTGGTCGTAGTTAAATACATCACCCTGAAAAAAGGTGAATTCTTTACATCCTTCTATTTGTTATACGATGGAGTGTAGCGAAACGTCTTTACCTTTCTTAGATGTTTTAGTTCAACTAGATTCAAATAAGATTACAACAGATTTATATTGTAAAGCTACAGATGCACATAATTATCTAAATTTTTACTCTAACCACAGTAAACACACTAAAGTTAATATTCCTTTTAATCTTGCCTCACGGATTGTCACTATCGTCAGTGACCAACAAGCTCAAATTGCTAGACTCAGTCAACTAAAGCAATACCTTAAAGCTCAATGTTATCCTACTGAGATAATAGAACATGGTATACAGAAAGCTATTGAAAAGGGACCCTTTACTTCCCGTCTACAAAAACTAAAGGATGAATCAAAGTTAGTTCCTTTTGTTTCTACTTTCAATCCACGGAATTGTAATATGTTTCCTGTGATAAAGAACAAATGTGAAGAGTTAAAGCAAAGTAGCAGGCGTATGAGAAACATTTTTAATAAACATGCTATTTTACACTGTAGACGCCAACCTAAAAACTTGAAACGTATGTTGACATGTTCTAAGTTTGATAATTCTTGTGTAACACCAAAAGTATCCAAATGTAAGACACCAAGATGTGCTACATGTCCTATGATTATCGAGTGTAATACTTTTATTTTCAAGAATGGTTTGAAATTTACTGTGAAGGTAAATATGAATTGTAAATCAAAAAATGTAATTTATGCAATCGTTTGTTCTAAATGTGGTGATTTTTACATCGGTCAAACCGGTAATGAACTCAGAACACGTATGACTGTACATAGACAACAAACTAGAACTGATTCTTTACGAAATCTTCATGTTAACAAACATATTCATGAATGTGCTGGAGATAAATTTAATGTATTACCTTTGTATCAACTATTTTCATCAGACACTATTTTAAGAGAAACGAAAGAAGACCAACTAATAAAAATATTAAAACCGAGTCTCAACAGGCCACAATAAAATTTTACGCCAAATTGTCCACCAATCTTGTGTACTTCGTGACGTCACGTTACTATTGTAGTGTGATGACATGTAATTGTGACGTCACGACGTTGTTCTCTTTTGAATAAACCTGAAGAGCCCTGTGAAGGGTGAAAGCAGCTAGTTTTTTAGTCGGTCGTTAATTTTATTTTTTCTAT